CATCAATAAAAGTAACAAAATATTTGTTACCGCCAATTGATTCAATTTCCATTGGGCCACAAACATCAGAATATACTAAATCAAGCATATCCAATTTTCTTTCAGACAATGTCTGAAATGAGACTCTATGTTACTTACCAAATAAACACTAGTCACAAGGTTTTACCGTTGTACCTTTGGCATAAGAAATAAGTGATTTATTGGCAAGAATCTGCAATCCCTTCTCGCTTATATGACCCATTCTTTTGTACCACAAATCTGCAGAAATCTCATCTTGTGCCGCGTTCAATTCACCTTGGCATATTTCTGCATTTGTCCGGTACAACGTGCCATGAGCAACTCCCTTTACAATCACCAATGATCCCTAAGTGAGTCTCCACTTTTGATTTGCAAAATAGCTCTCGTATCTATCTCGGTCTAAAGCAATTCCTGAGATCAAGTTCATCCGCAAATCAGGTACATGCCGCATATCCTTTAGAACCAATGTGCATCCAACATGTGTCTTGATACAAATGTTACCAATCCCCGCAATCTTTGAATAACTTGTGTTACCCATTCTCACTGTGCCGAAATCACCTGCTACATATCTGCAAAAAAGATCTCTTACCGGTGTGGTATGGTAAGATGCCGTTGTGTCAACCACCCATTCTGACTCTGGACCTGACAGGTGCATGCATTCCTCTTCCTCATTTATAAAGAGGACAACATTATCATTATTTTGCACCATGGCGGCTGTGTTGTCGTCATTCTTCTGGCCACTAGTTTTACCTTTGCCCTTCCTTGGATTTGGGCAATCTCTTTTGAAGTGACCTGGTTGATTACAGTTGTAGCAATTTCTGACTCTTGATTTGGATCGGTTCTTTGACTTCCCACGAGCTCCGGATCTACCATAGTTGTTCGAACTCCTTTGATAATTCCTGCCTCTACCTTCTGTGATGAGAGCATGTCCTTGATTTTCAGGCTTCTTTCTCATCTTCTCATTGAGTAAAAGAGCCGATGTGACATCTTTCAACTCAATAGTAGTCTTACCGTGCAGGATGGTTATTGCCAAATTATCGTACGAAGATGGCAATGAGTTGAATAGCAAGATGACTTTATCTTCTTCCTCGATTTTCACTTCGAGGTTGGCAAGCTGTGTGAGTAGTCCGTTAAACACATTTAAATGTGACAAAAAATTCATACCTTCACCCATGTGTAAGGCGTATAACTGCTTCTTCAGGTACAATTTATTTGTCAACGTTTTGGACATGTATAGGCTTTCCAACCTTGTCCAAATTCCATGTGTAGTATCTTCATCAATGATGTTATTTACCACATCATCTGATAAGTGCAACCTGATTGCACTAGTAGCTCTTTCATTCAAGTCAGCCCAATCCTCAGCTTTCATGGTATCAGGCTTTTTGACATCAGCATCTAGTACCTTGTGTAATCCTTGTTGGATGAGCAGATCTCTGATCCTTCTTTGCCATGTTGAGAAACCGTTATTTCCGTTGAATTTTGCTACCTCATACTTTACTCCGGACATTTTTATTTTTCACCGAATATAGTACTACCGATAGTGAATAGTATTTCAGTGAACGAGCAGAACATGTGCTCTGATACCAGTTGTTGGAAATAAAACCCCACAGAAATAATATTCACGGTAATAAAAGCGGAATAATAATGTAGCACCGAGATACGGTAATTAACAAGAATAAAAGAGTAACAACGACACCAAGATTTTTACGTGGAAAACCCTTTTAATAAGGGAAAAAAAAAACCACGGCCCCGAGAGGAGCAACTGATATCACTATAGTAAGGAATTTTACACTTTGTAGGTCCGAGTAAAATACTCCAAAAACCACTACAACACTCAAAAGAAATAACCCTCTTTTGATATTTCTACCTCACTACAATATCGCTCACTCTCTATTTTCCTCACAGACTATTTTCTTATACCATGTCTGTGAAACCTCACTATTTCTTTCTCTCTTTGTTGGTGTGAAGAAATGAGAGTTGAAGCTCTCCTTTTATAGCCAAAGCTTCGCTCTCTAAAGCCTACAGTATTTGATAATTTACACACACTTCCCACAATTCAACAAAGTTGGCTACCAAATCAAAGAAATTCAACAAGGTTGGCTACCAAACCAAACTAATTCAACAAGGTTGACTACCTAACCAAACCAAGTCAACAAGATTGGCTACCAAACCAAACTAATTCAACAAGGTTGACTACCTAACCAAACCAAGTCAACAAGATTGGCTACCAAACCAAAGAAACTTTTATTAGGCACATGCCTAATACTTCTTCAATGAGATGGATATCATCAATACCCTGCTTTCCTTAGAAGCTATAATGACTTGTAAAGAGTTAATCAAAGACCTTTACTTCCAATTCAGAAAATTTGATTATCCAACCTGCTACTATATTTATTTCAGTTACTTGGTAATGTTGAAGAAGTATGTTCTTTCATATGGTTCAGGGTCAGTATCAAGGTAAGTGGTAAGCTAATCATAGCCCATAACGAGTACGTAGTTAGAATCATTCATCGGTCTAAAATAATTAAGGAGGAAATCCCAATATAACTAAAATTTTGGACAAATTAGGAATTTCATCATAAAATTACTTATTATTATAAAATATGTTTCGAGCGATAAACGAGACATATTGCTACAAGTTACTAGCAAATAACACTTCTATTTATTTATTTATTTATTTATTCTTGTTACAGTACGAGGCAATGGACAAACCTGGGAGCTGCCCTCTATTATGTTGGGAGGAATTTGAATTTCTTGCCTATATAGATCCGAAATGGGTTCATTTCTTCCAGCAAGACGTGAAACGGGTGGTTCATTTCTTCCTCCAAGACGTGCTTGCACGATGATGAAGTTAGTTCCGCGAAGATTAATCCCGTAGTATAGACCTTTCTCATCTCTGACACCACATATGTAAACAATTAATGAGCAACTAATAGAACCATGCAATTCAAAAATTAAAATGTAGGAGCAATTGTCCTAATCACAAGAAATATTCTAGAATAATGGTACTCTGCACTTACGGACTTAAAATTCTATATCCACATCTAGGGTTCAAGTTGGGTGTGTGTTTTCCTTTCAAAATTTCATCCATTGATCAAACTAATTTCAAAATCTAAATGAAACCACCTATGCTTATAGTTTAGTGGTATCAGTGAGAGTCTTTCACGCAATAAGGCGTTGATTCAATTCTCACGATCCCCCTCCCCTAATCCCCCCAGTATTATTAAAAAAAAAGCATATATAACCTACAGGCTACAGCAATGGAAAGTGTAATCAACATTAGAGAAAAAAGAAAATTAAATTCAATCTTCTCTACTAAGAATGAAAACTATAGTACCCTGTGGGTAGTGAAGCTAAGCAAGAAGGAAGCATTTGGAGGCTGGATTCACTTGAAGTTAGACCCGATTGCATCTCAGTCACAAGATCATCAGCAATTTGCCATAACTTAGGAACAGGGGTCGCACATTCTCTTGCAAATTTTCGAAGAATGCGCTGTGCATGCCTCCACCGTTGCTCGCTTCGCCTCTTCCATTGCCTCACCAACAGCGCCGCCGCTACGACGGTGGAAACCGTCGTCACTGCTGCCAACACCACCACGTCCTTCCTCATTCTCTACTTATACGTTATTTCAGATAAGTAGTTTCTGATATTTTATTAGAGTTGTAGTTTCTTTTACATCCATGCATCTGATTATTTTTTCTAATTTAATTTTTATGTTATCAAAGATAACTGATCCACGATCCGTGGAATGAAGAACGAGTTTCATGGCAAAACTTGTTCAGTGAGTGTATTATCCAGCAAGGTCGGGTTAAACCCGAACTCACGATGGTGGGCTTTTGGGCCTAATAACGTTTCTTCTAGCTTTTATGTTGGGTTTGAGATTCTATTGCAGTTCTGTTTGATCAACAATTTTTTTTTTTGGGTCACTAGCTCTGTTTTGTTAGATAAGTAAATGGGACATTTGCATCTATACCCGCTTTTTGGTCACGTTTTAACTTATACTCGCTTTGCAAAAAAAATTACAAGCGTACCCACTTTTCGCGTAACTTCAGGCATACGGGCCTGAAGTAGCAAATGCAATCACACAAACTTTAGCATTCTAGTAGACAGGCCTGAAGTAGCAAATTGCTGAACCAAGTGGTGACTGAAGTTTTTGTTTGTAATTGCTGAACTTAAGCATCTAGTAGCTGAAGTTTTATTCTCTGTTTGCTGAAGTTTGTTCTCTATTTGATGAAATTTTTGTTTGTAATTGCTGAACTTAAGCATTCTAGTAGTTGAAGTCTTGTTCTCTATTTGCTGAAGTTTTTGTTTGTAATTGCAAAACTTAAGCTAGTAGCTGAAGTTTTGTTCTCTATTTGCTGAACTTCAGCATGTTTTAGCTGAAGTTTTGTTCTATATTTGCTGAACTTTAGTACGTTTTAGCTGCACAAACCATGCTCTCAAGATATGCCTATAAATTTTCTGCTTGAAGGGATTCATTATAGTTTGACTATTTTTAGGATGGTAGTCATTACTCAACTTTCTGCTAACATCTTCAGGCTTTAGATTTTTCTTGTGCAATTAGTGTTATCGCGCCCCCTTTTTTCCTTTTTGTGGGAAAGTCCGGATTTCGACATTCATAGGGGAACAACTCGTTTCCTTTTGGGAATTGGGTATTTGAAGAGTCGTCACCTAACGGATTATGGTGCGTTAGAGAACCTAGAGCGATTAACTCATGTAACTAGTTTGCATTACCAGAGATTAGAGTAAGGACTCAAAATAACCTTGAGGGGAAGGTATTAGGCGCACTTTACGGTCCACAATAGTGGGTCCCGACCGAACTCAAACTATGTGAATTAGTCATTTAACAAGCAAACAAAGCTCAACACATATTCACAAATAAAGGCATGTTTTGACATTCTAAATACATATATGATTCAGGTAATGAAAGCAAGGGAGAGGTTTAAACAACTTGCACATGTATAAAGAAAATGAAGTTTATAAAATTTAAACACATAGGAAGTGGGAAAGGGAAGTTCTAAGTTGATTAGCCTACAAGATCATACCCATGCAATGCCCGGTAATCACTCTTCAATGAGGGGCTACATGTGACATTAGCGCGCGATCATCATATCCTTTTACTACCCATTACCCTCCCCATAGTGGTTATAAGCGAGTTTAATTAACGACTTCTAAGTGTGCTGCTACCTGTCCCTTCCTTATGGTACTGGAGGAATTAAGGACCACTAAATCTGGACAGTTCTAGACAACCTAAGGGTTTTTTAAAAGGTAAAAATCTAGGCGACAGACAAATAACTTGTAGGACAAGCAAATAGGGACAAATAGTTAGAAGGCTCACATTTACCTCTGCATGTATATAGACAATCAAACAGCGCGTCTAAAGCACAGACTTTCAAAAGAAGTTCAGAAATCCTAAGGACGTGATATCTAGATGAACATCACAAAAACAGAACATGCAGTGTTTGTTTTTAGGGAAGTGGTAGGATCCTAACCAGTTTGCCTACTGGTTTTGCAGTTTGTTAAACCTGAATGATTTCACATATAACAGAACTGGTTTCACAATTATTTAATGCCCTAAAGCTTGCCTAAGTGCGTATATGCAGTCACAATTCTGGGAAAACATTTTGAAGTCTTTTATCCTATAGACATGCTTTCTAGTGATACTAACTAACACAACGTTGAAGGCTATCAAAGAAACGAATAGGATAATTAATAAGATTGATTCAAGGCTTACATGCGTGAGTTAAAATTAAACTGATTTTAGATCCTATAGGCATGATTTCTATAATTAAAGCTGATTTTAAATCCTATAGGCATGATTTCTAAAGAGATAAATTTGAATATATGCCGTTATGAAAATTGAACCTTAGTTATTTTATTCCCTATATGCATGGTGTCTAGTCATATAAAGTAAAGTAGGGAGAACTTATTTCAACCAAAGCAAACCCTATAGGCACGTTGTCTAACATAGCACATGAAAACCAAAATAAACCCTATAGGCATGATATCTACCCAACTTTATCCACAGTATACAACTACCTTCCCTTTTCACTAGTCACCCCAATATCTATTTACAATTAATTATTACATACCAAGGATTGAATAATACATAAATAGAATATAAATTAAGTTATAGGGAGCCTGAAGTAGGCCCAAAGCAAATCATGAGATACCAGACCTTCAGTAGTCTCAAATGCCCAAAGTTTCATAGCCAATTTCATGTCTAGGTGTGTCAGAGTTCCCTAAGGACCTCAAGGATCCTAGGCGGTGCTCACACCCAGACCTTCCTCGAATAAGGACTGATTTATGTGTAGTGTGGAAGTGTCAGCCCTGATATGCCAGAGTTCAGAGTGATCTCAGGGACCTCTAAGCAGTACACATACCAGAGGGGCAGAACTTAATAACCTAAGAATAAGTGAGAGTGTTTGACATGATTTGAAAATGTTTGGTAAATAGTATAAAGAAAGGTCTTAGGAGTGAAAAGATTTTCTGAAAATCAGTACTAATTTAGTGGTAAAACAGAAGTTAGAAAAGCATGGGAAATAATTTGCAATCAGAACACAAGTCACAGAACAAACAGCTTTAGAAAACACTTTGGCAAACAGTTTTCACACAAGGAAAAAGGGGTTGGGGACACATAGAATACACCTTGGTGGAGCACATAAACAACATGGTGCATAGAGTTCTTAAGGGGGGTCTACAGAACTAATAGGTTAGAGAATGTAGGTCATTGAAACATGAAGTAAAGATCACAGCAGAAACATGTTGAGGGCACATAAACAACATAACTAGAGTTACATTGGAGAGACTAGATAACTTAGCAGGAGTAAGACAGAACAAGCAAGAACTGAAATGGACATGCCAGGCAAGTATTAACAAGTGTAGACATGCTAATCACACACTTACAAAACAAAGTTTAGGCATGCTAGAAAACAGTAGTCAGGCAAACAGGCTAGTCCCATGTGGAATAAGACAGTGCAAGACATATTAAACAAGATAGCAAACATGCAAGTAAAGTGGAGAAATGCTAATTACATATTTGAATAAGGCAGTATTTGGCATGCTGGGTAAGCAGTAAACAGAAGCAAGAATGAACTCAAGTCTAATAAACTAAGGCAGTAAATAAACACATAGGTTTAGATTCTTAAAAATTAATCAGAAGCACACCAGTTAGAGAAAGAAAACACAAGATGTAAGACATGTGTTGTGCAATTTCCAGCCTTGGCTTGCAGCCGGCTAGACTAACAAATATCACAAGTAGCAGAGAGAGAAGAGAGATAAAAGAGCTTTTTAGAGTGTAAAAGCAGTGGTTTATGAACTAAAGTTCATGTCCAGAAGTAAGGAGTAAAGGAGAGTATATATACCAGTTTAGGAATGGAGCAGAATAAGGTAAAGAAATCATAATTCAGCAATCGGGGAAATTACAAAATCAATCACACATGAAATTAGCATAGTCTTCCTTCAATTAAGGACAACTACCCAACAGGTAAAGGACATGAGTCACTGAAGGAAAGAAAATCAAATCAGACCTAAGTAAAGAGATAAATAAACAGAAGTTTAATTAAGGAAATAATCGTGAAGAATCAGCAACATTACAGACAATAAGGTAATAAGAATAATTAGAGTCGTAAACAAGGGAATAAATCAAGAATCAGCACATAATTTTTTAAACAAGGAAATCAGTAAATCGAAATTCAAAATAATACTGATTTAAAGAGAGGAAAAAAATATCAGTTTTCCACAAATAGATGAGTAGGATGAACAAAACTTCATAAATACACATAAATTAGCCAAGAGATCGACTTAAAAACCCTAGTAAAGATGAACTAGGGTAGTAGTCACTAGATACTGAATTGGACTAAGGAAAAATATGAGAGTCAAAACATAGACCAAACAATGTAGCCAGTAACACGGAAAGATTCAGAATTGAAGCAAAAATTTAAGAAATTAGGGCTTTAGCATAAATCGACTAGGGTCCAAACAATATTAACACAAATCAGTCAGTAACACTTAAGAATCACGATTACACTCAAAAATCGAAAAGTCTTTAAAAGAGTGAGTTTAGTAAACCATAATTTTCAGGAAAAATGGAGAATCAATTAAAAACCATAAGACTTTCGTGAAAAAAATGTGAAATAGACTCGATTCATCTCAGATCTGGGCAGATCTGAGAAGATCAAAGGATAAAAATTAGGTTTTTTTTGGGAAAAGCAACAGAGACATGCATAGACTTAGGAAACCACGGATCCAAGACAAAAAATTAGAAAGATCTTACTCAAGATCAAGCTAAATAGCCTGAAAGCAACAAGAAAACCCAAAGTGTAAATAGACCGCCTATGTCCCTTGAGGATCTCTTCAAGGATCCAAAAATGGAGATGCCATAGCAAATAAGAGGCCATTAGAGGCCTGAGGTGATGAAGAACCACCATAGGAGGGCAATAGGTGAGTGACGACATTTGGAGATTAGGGTTTAGGTCGAAAGAATTTGAGAGAGGATAGGAATAGTGACGGCGGGGAAGAGTGGTAAAGTGATTAGGGTTTGGGGGATATAGGTTAGTTTAATTTAGGTAAGATGAGATCTGGACCGTTGATCATTTTGATCAACGACCAAGATTTAATAAGAAATGGGTCGGGTAGATAAAAAGTTTAGGCTGGGTAGATTTTGGGCCTGATTTAATTTGAATTGGGGTTGAAATTGGGCTAGGTAATTAGGCTAAATCCGAAAATAAGAGG